GCCAAAGCCAAAACCACCGTGCACGTCCTCGAAGCCCTCGGCCGAGTCTCCAATATGGCCATTGAAGTCGCCTCCAATGATGACTTTCTCAGTCAGTGGAAAACCAACAACCACCCCATCCAAGGCGTCCCAAAACTCCCTCTTTACTTCGTCTGCCAAGCCAACATGCAGGGCGTAAGTACTCACGACATTGATCATACACCCATCCAAAACCAACTTGATAAACATTAGACGATCACTAATCCTCTTCACCTCCACCACAAACTCTCGCAGCTCCGGAGCCACCAGAATACCGACTCCATTCCTTCTCCTAGCCGAACCTGAATACCACAGTTTGAAGCCATCAACCTCTCGCGCCTTCGTGCCCACCCACTTGGTTTCTTGCACGCACGCCACCTGAATCCTTCTCCTCTTGAGAACTTGCACCAACTCAATTGACTTACCTGTGAGGGTCCCTATGTTCCATGAGCCAAAACGCACATGGGACACTACACTACCCCTCTGCGACCCTCCTACCCCCGTCCCAACCCTGTGAGAATATGGTGAAACTACTAAAATAAATAAAAACCCGAGAGAGTGAAGTACAAAGAGGCGATGTTTCCACTTGACCTGATTTATGATAGTTACACATACTACCTTGTTCTTAAATTAGCATCCCACTTTTACTTTTCACTTAGATCCACATTATTCTCACAGTCCATTTAAAGAAACAATTGTGAGGTTGACATTGTTTCTTGTCTTTTGCAAATAAATCTCAATTCTCAACCATAGATCTTTTTCTTACTAACCCACCAAAATTCAACACGGCTTATTTAGGGATGGAGAGCGTAATACATTATTCAATGCAAAGTGGAAAAATTTCAGAGCATCTAAATAAAGAGTTAGACCACAAGAAAATGCAATATACGGAAAAAATAGGGTCTATGATCAGAAATCATCACACCAAACTGTCAAAATACCTTTTGAGTTTTTGGAAAATGAAAACACCATTCAATTAAGAAGCAACGCTAACCTCGAAGAATTCAGACGCGTCAACCAAAGAAGTCAAAGAGAATACTAATCTAAGAACAGGAGCAATAACCATGCGCTGCTTGTCCACATCAACAGACAATTCTCTTCCAAATTTGGCCTCAAACCGGCGGTGGCTCCCCTGACAAAAAGTTACTCCACATTAGCATTCAAATGGTAATAGAAGAAAGTCACCATATCCACATAAAGAATGTGTGAATAACCTTAATTTGCATTTTTAGTGCTCTACATGAGGATATACGGTCCAATGCATCCATTGAAAAGAGAACTTGTGCCCCTGATTTCCTGTATTTATAGCTTATTCTCAATAGCAGAGCAAGTTCTGCTTCAAGAGTGCACACGCGCTGCATTGACCCAACAGGAAACCCATCCTATGAAGGGAAACACTGGTTAGCATATCATGCCCTAAAAAAACTGTATCAGCGAGAGAAATTTATGCTGTTGATTAGCTTTTTTAATTGAATTCAATTTAGAACAGATGTTCATGAATACTTACAGTTGTGAGAAAAAAAGGGAATAACTCTACGCAGGCACACAATTAGAAAGTATGAATTTTATCGGCCCAAAGCATGTTAGGCCCCGTTTGGTACACGGAATTCAAACTATGGAATTGGAATTGAGGACAACAATTCCAATTCTCGTGTTTGGTAGCACAAAAATTCTGTGGATTTGGAATTGATAGTGCAAAAAATGAATTGGAATTGGCAGAATTCAATTCTATGGAATTGAATCCCATGAAATTTCAATTCCAATTCAATTCCAATTCTGTCAATTCCGTATACCAAACAGACCCTTAAAGTTTTCAAAATGAAAAGAAATAATGCTACTGGTTAATTCACAGGAAGACCTTGATTACATTTTACCAGTTCAGTCGGATTTTGAAACTCGATATAATTCATACATTTCCTGCCAAAAAATCTTAATTATAATATGCACATTTGCTGTCTTTTATGTATCTGGGTTCTTATGCATGACTTCCCAGCTTTACTTCCTACACAAGCGTACAAGTTTTCTGTGCATATTGCAAATTTTGAAAAAACACAATTTACTCCCCAAAGCATTTTTTACAATTATGTTGCACGTTAAGATACAAGAATATCTTCCAGGAATAATGTGTTTTGTATGGTGTGTGTGCCAAATTCTCAAATGTTATTTTTCTTAATTAGGTGTCAAAGGTTTCCTGTTCTAAACAATAATGAAAAATTTGTTAATTCATGTAAAAATAGATTCTTGGGACACATAAAAATGGAATAAACATTAACATACATTCAGACACTGAAAGAGAGAACAATACTCACCTGATACGAAAAATTCGTGATGCTGATAAGGCAAGACTTGAGGAAGCCTCTGCTTTGAAGTTGATTCAAGAAAAACTTCTCATGATCAAAGGATATAAGTGCATCTAAAACATAAAACGAAATTGTTTTTGCCAATTCACTTCCATGAGTTGCATCTTTAATGACCTGTGTTTTAAATTAAACTTCTTTAGAATAATAGAAATGAAAAGAATGTAGTGATGAGCACCATACTGATGACGAACTACGAGCTATGTGTTTCCCCTTTGATTAATTTTAATATGGCAATGTGACAAGTCACGAAGGCACCAACTTAAACCAGTACCACTTCAAGCATGAATGTCGTGAACAAATAATGCAGATAAAATGAAAAAACACCCCACCAAATCAAGAATTGCTTGAGCTTCCTTCCTTAAAATAGAGAAGTTTGCATGTGATAATTCAGCATGATCTTTGACAATCTGATTAGCATGTAAATAGAACATAAATTTAAGTATCATATACTTGTATATAAAAGTTTCAAAAAGACTGGGGAGGGAATGTAAAGCTTTTCTGACCTTGTCAAGATCAGCATCTTCATTATCCTGCTCATCCATTGGAAAGAACTGCATCACTGAGGCAGGTATACTAGGATCAAGGATATGCTGACAGTACTGGAAATAGCTAAGAAGCAAGGTGTATTGGCTGAAACAAGGGAAATAAAACAACCAATAAGGACTTAATATCAACAGAATAGACAAGTTGGTGCAATTTCAACATAAGAAATTTGTACCGCCTCCTTAAAGCTTCAGATGAATCTTGTCTGAGAATTGCCATTATCATTTTGTACAAAATAGAAAGGCATGCACCATTAGACAATTGTTTTGCCATTATTATGTCAAGGTAAGTGATGGTCTCAGATTGTAAGCCACCGGGGCATAAGAAACACATGTCGCGAAGCTTTGCCATGCATGTCAGACCAACCTTCAAATTTTCAATTAAATAAAATCAGTTAACATAGGCAAATCTATTATACTCTTTGCTTCTTTGGCAGCAACTGCTTCAACGAGTTAGTAAAAAAAGAGATATAACCTGGGTTAAAATTAGTGCCATCTTCAGTGAACAGTCAGGAGAACCAGAAGCACCGAGTGAGGCATCTAGTAACCTACAAGTTGACTTAAAGTTTAGAAATGACATCATTAGTAACTTATGAAAAAATAAAATGAAGATGAAAACATTACTCACTGAAACAATACTTCGGTTTGGCTTTGAAGAGATGATAATCTTCTAGATGCACATATCTACAGAAAAAATATATATGTTTCATAAACATAGACTGTAATGGTAAGGGAACAAGAGAAAAAACCCAAATACAGGCAACAAAGAGACAAGAAGACAGACATACTCAATCCAGAAAATAAGATAATGAAGAAAAAGAAAGGATACCTCAACAACAAGAGACCAGCCCGTTAGCATATGAAGCTGAGCAGCTTGTTCTTCAAGATTTTTGTTATATTTCCATCCCCATCTCAGTAATTGTTGTATTGTTTCTCGAATTTCATTAAGTTCAACTTCAGTGCCAAAGGAGCTTAGCTGGGGATCATGCAAATTATATTTCTATAAATTGAAACCAGTCAATAAAGATAGCAACTGATACACAACTATTAAAATATAAGAAAATAAGCTAAATTAAGAAGACAAAAGAGTAAGTGCAGTGAAATTAGCAGAGAAATCACCTCCCAAAGTTTGTCACGAAATGCAGTCAGATCAATCAAACGGTCTCCACGTTCTGAGTAGTAATACAAACCGCCTTTCTCAGTAGTGGAAGGATTGCTAAGTATATCCTCTGCCTATGAGACAAATTGCATTAAACACCATGCACAGATAATAAGAAACATCAAACATATAAATAAAAACAGAGATATGCTTAATGATTTAGAAAAAATTACTTACCAGAAATCCATTCTTTATACTGGAAACAATCTGAGAAGACTTCAATGACGTTTCAGGAGTTTTAAACTGAACAACGTCAAGCAATTCTAAGACCTGTGGTTGAATGTCCAAAATTAATTGTTATATAGAATATAGAATGCAAAAGCAAAACAATAAATTGCTACTTATCACCTTCAATGGGGAAACATGAGCCATGCACTACGGTAGTACGGTACACACAAAAACAGGTTTATGAGTAATGATGCTTAGCAGTAATCTGGGGCACAGAAATATGAATACTCCCTCCATCCCATATTTAAGTTCCCACTTTCCCTTAAAGAACATCCCAAAATAAAGTTCTCATTCCTCTTAAGAAATAAATTGTGTGATTCGTATTATTTCTCTCTCCTCTACATAAATCTCAGCCACAAAATTTTATCTTTTCTTCTTAAACTCGGTGAAAAAGAAAATAAGAACTAAAATATGTGATGGACAGAGTATATAGAAGTGTCCCTAATGATTGATTATTTCAAACAACCACTTTATAGGGCATTGTGAACAAAGGAGTAAAGGAAACAATAAAGACTAAACGGATGATTGACACGGATCTGTTTCTAAATGCTGGTTCAACTACAGATCATTTAAAACTAGCCAATGAACATCAGTATTTATAAAAACGTTTGCAGAATGACCTAAAAGCACAATGTGGAACAACCTTATTTCCCTAAAGAACCAACAAAAGCCTTCAAGTGATAGCTCTAGAATCGGAAGAAAGGCTGTTGGCTTCCCTTCAGGATCACAGAACCATTGTGATACAGGCTTCTAGCTACCATATATGTTGACCTTTACAAGTGAACACCCACAAGACCACTCAAAAAAGTAAAGAATTTTGATTATAAGCCACCCATCAGTTGGAGAGCTTGAATTTCCTTCTTCTGATGCAAACGTTTGAATTATAATTATCAAGTCAATACTAACCCTAGCAAAACGATGTGTAAAACAATGTAACAACCAGTACCTTATTTTTACTGATCATTCTTGCTCCAGCTATATCGGGATTGTCTGGAGTAATAGAATCATCTGAGATGCCTTGCCCAAATAGTTTAACTATGATACTTTGACATGTTTCTCGATGTGTGGAGCTAGACATATCTGGAGAGTGCAATGCTACAGCTAAAAGCTTCAACAGCCAAGCTCTCTACACAAGCAAATAAAGCACAAT